CGCGCCCTGCTCCGCGCCCGCCTTGACCCCGCCGCCCTCGCAGCCCAGCTTGTTCCCGCGCCCGGCCCCGCCGGTGCGCTCCGATCCCGGCCCCCAGTCTACGACGACGGCCCCGCGGGCTCGGATGCCGAGGACGCCGGCGACGAGACACCCGACGTGGACCCCGAATTGCTGAGGTGCCTGCGCCAGGGGAGGACCAGGGCGAGGGACGGTGGGGGCGGCGGGGGGAGGGTCGCTGCCTCCTGGTGCCGGCGCAAACATCTAAGCCCGGGGCCCTAGGACGGAGCGAGGTCCTGGATCCAGACGGTGGGGCCGAGATGCCTGGCTGGGGCACAGTAGGGAACGCAGACTTCTGATCCTGGGGAGGGGGTCCCCATCCTCTGTTTCTGGGGGTGAGGGAGGCGGGAAAGCCAGTTTCTGGGACGGGAGGCGGGAACTTCCGTCTGCGGAGAGCGGTTGGGCTGGGGACGCCTGAGTGGGGAGGGAGCTGGAGACAGGCAGTTTGGGGTTTCGGGTCCATGCAGTTCAGGTCCCCGGCCGGGTGGTGACCCGCGCGCACATCTTGGCTGCATTGCTCTGGACCTTGCAGGTACTTGCTGGGGCGGATCCTCGCAGGAAGCGCGGACCCCGAGGCGGTGGCCGCCCCGCGCCGCCTCCGCCGCTCTGCCGACCAGGATGTGGGCCCCGAGGTCCCCCCTGAGGGTGTGTTGGGGGCGCTGCTGCGCGTGAAACGCCTGGAGACCCCCGCGCCCCAGGCGCCCGCACGTCGCTTCCTGCCACCCTGAGCACCGCCGGGATACTGCACGCCCTGGGACCCAGGAGCATCCCCGCCACCCTGCCACCTGGACTGCTCCCCGGCCAGACCTCCCAAAGATCCCTAACCCCGGCCCCACAATAAACACCATCTGAAGCAGCTCTGTGCTTGTCTGTGTGAGTGGCAGTTTCTAGGGGTTGTGGGCTGGGCAGTGGTGGCCGTCTTTACAGGACAGAGGGGGTCCCTGCTCTGAATCCTGCGCTTCTGGGGGAGGAGACACCCAACTGGGCAATGGCAGTGCCCACCCGGGTCCGGTGTCCCCCTTTTAAGTCTCACGTGGGTATAGGGACCCCAGGAGGCTTTAAGGTTACTTGCGGAGCCTGCACCAACATCTTTCAGGGGTCCATCCTTCTGAGGGCCAAGGGGTGGCTGTTCGTGGGGCATGTGAGCAGAGCTCCAGGTGCCAGCAAGGATATCCACAGGCAAACTCGAGCACTTCCTGATGTGGGGTAGGGTAGGAAGACAAAGGGAGTGAACTGCAACCTGGGGGTCAGTCCTCCCACGTGGGCCCATAATGTTTAAGTCCTTAGTTATACAGTCTGGAGACCCATCTAAATTCTTGCCTTAGATCCTGGAGAATAGAGTTGCTGTGGTGGCAGCTGGGTTGTGGCCAAGGCCTTTGCACTGGTTATTCCCTCCACTGCCCCCAGATATCTGCAAGTTTTTGCCCAAATGTTGCCTATTCAATAAAGCTTTCCTTGACCGCCCCGTCACTCTATTCCTTCACCTGCCTTTAACACACAGCTTTTATCACTATCTAGCCCGATGCCATATCTACAACAGCAGGGATTTTTAAGTGTCTTGTTTGCCTCTACATCCCTTGTACCCAAAGCAGGGCCTGGCACACAGTGGGCTCCTCCTGAGTTTTTTGAATGAAAGGATTCTCACAATTCAAGTAACAGTCTACTCAGTCTCGCTCCCACCCACATAACACTTGGCATGGAGACAGCTTTGAAACTCAAGAACACCATTTAATTTTGCACAAAATCTCAACTTGACGTAAGAAAACCAACATTAGACATTCCCAGGTAACCAAAAAAGCCCCTCACCAAGTGAAAACAAGACAAGTGTCCATCTATTCCCAGTTTACTGACAGTGACAGTGTCCCAAACAGCTAGTTGATCAGGGTCTGACATCAAGAGAACCATCACCCCGGCGTGGGGGAGGGTTCACTTTTCTTAATCAAGATTTTCAGGCTACAGAGCAGCCACAACGGCAGGTGGCCTTCTGGTGGCGGCCCCTCACCCCACCTTGCCTGGCCACAGCATCCTTTGCCATGGCCTCCTGGGCCCTCTGGATCTCATGGACAAGCAGTGAAAAGGCCTCCTCCACACCTTGCCGTGTCTTGGCTGAGGTCTCCACAAAGGGGGCCCCCCAGCTCTGGGCAAGGGCTGCAGCAGCAGCATGAGCATCTCCGGCAGTGGTCACAAGGTCACACTTGTTGCCCACAAGGACGAGGGGTTGGGTGGGGTGAGGACCCCAGGTGGCCCGCATCTGCTGCAGCTGGGTCAGAGTTGAGAGGTCATCGAGAGCGAAGACGCCCAGCACCCCATCGCCAACAGCCAAGCACTGGTCACGCAGGGCCTTATGAGTGGCCTGCCCTGCAGTATCCAGCACATTCAGAATGCAGTCTCCTTCACTCAGGGACAGCTCCTTCCAGTAGGAATCCTGGATGGTGGGGTCGTGGTCCTCCACAAAGCACTGGTGGTTCAGCTGGATGGTCAGTGCGCTCTTGCCCACACCACTTGCGCCCACCACCACCGCCTTGTACTCTGGCAGCTTCTTGCCAACACCCCTGCAGTGTGCTCGAGCCCGGAAGCTCTCCTCCTGGGAGCCAGGGCTCCATGTGCCCAGGCCCAGGTCGAAGTTGCTAGGCTTTTTTGGCCGCGCCATGCCCTCAGCAGGTAGCTCAGGGAAGAGCAGTGGGTGGCAAGCCCTGCAAGTGGGAAGAGCAGCAAGACAATGGGAGAGAGGTTAGGAGAAACCATTTGAGGGCAGGGAGATAGAGATGACGGGGTGTCACTGGAGCAACACTTATCGAGTGCCTATCGTGTGCTGATCAACTTCTAATTTGCATGCTATATATTCAACTTATTTTTTTTCTTTTTCTCTCCCTTGCTTTTCTCTCCCCCCACACCCTGCCCCCGCTTCCTTCTACACTTCAACTCTGAGAAAGGCGTTTCCAAATAGCTTTATTGAGATGTAATTTACATCCCATAAAGTTCAGCCAGTTAATATAGTCAATTCAATGGACTGTAATATACTCACAGAATTGTGCAACCATCACCATAATCAAACTTTAGAACGTTTTCCTCACCCTGGAAAATAATCCCTTTGTCCAGGAAGGAGGGCAGGATTTTACCTGTTTTGGTCACCATTGAACCCCAGCCCACCGCAGCCCCTGCCAGACAGTATGGTTCAGAATATTCCCACCCATAGAGGGCTTATGTTCTAAAAGAAGGAGGCAAGCCGGGTGCAGCGGCTCAAGCCTGTAATCCCAGCACTTTGGGTGGCTGAGGTGAGGGGATTGCCTGAGCCCATGGGTTCGAGACCCGCCTGGGCAACTTGGCGAGACCTCATTTCTACAATAAATCAAAAAATTAGCTGGGCGCAGTAGAGCTCGCCTGTAGTTCCAGCTACTTGGAAGGCTGAGGCGGAGAGATCGCCGGAGCCCACCAGGTTGACGCTGGGGTGGCCACGAGCGTGCCACCGCATTCCAGCCTGGGTGACGGAGTGAGACTCCAACTCAAAAGAAATTAGTCTTTAGTTAGTTAATTACTCGACATGTGTTTATTGAGTACCTACTGTGTGGCAAAGACACAGAGGTGGACAAAAAATAGACAACAAACACCGGCCCCTGTAACCATCACATTCTAGTCAGGGCAACAGATAACAAGCAAGACAAATAAGTAAAATATATTTCAGTAGTAGGTAGGTGATAAGCATGCAGAAGGTGTTCAGTTAATGTTAGGCTTTTTTATTGTAATTCAACCGTCATTCATTAATTCAAGAATCTTCCTGCATGCCAGACATTGTGCTACCACAGTTAACAAAACAGATCCAAGTCCCAGCTCACAGAGGATTAGATTCTAGCAGTGAGAAACAGACAATAACAAATTAAGGAACAAGGAAGTTGCAGGTTAGAAGAGGATGGGCACACAGCAGGTGCTCAATTAGTGTTAGCTATTAATAGTACATCCCCATTGACTCATTGAATGCACCTCCATGTCCTTGGGCTCAGGAAATGCTCCCGCTTAGTGCACCTTAATGGCTGTAACCACAATTCCCCTCCGACACCCTGGAGCTGTTGCAGTTTGGGGGCAGATGGCGCCTTTGCAGTGTCCATGGGAGGTTTAGTTGAGTTTCGCATCCGGAGGTCGGGGTTGGGGTGGGGGAGAGCAAGGTCCCAGATGGGGATCCAGCCTGAGGTCCTCAGTTCCGAGGGGCCCCTGAAAAGGGCCACCTGGAAGTGCTCGCCCAGGAGGGGAGCAAGGATGAGGAGAAAAGGAGAGGACAGAGTTTGGGGGGGGTCCCCGGTGTTTGGCGGCAGAAAGAGGGAGAAGACCGAGATGTGCGGGCAAACTGAGGGGAGGGGTGAGGCGGCAGTGCACGTGGAGTGGAGAGGCTGGATTCTGCTAAATTCTGAAAGGGAACCAGCCCGGCCATCTTTTGGGGAGATTAAAGGCCGGGGAGGGAGCGAGGCCGACTCCCAAGTTAGAGGGGAGCGGCTGGGAATCGCGTGGTGCCCTCGGTGAGGGAGAGCGGCCGTGCGAGGTGACCAGGACTCTGCGGGGAGCAGCAGAACCGAAGCTCCGATCCCAGGGGAGCGGCCTGCGGGTCACACTCGCTCAGTCCTCCCATCACCCCGAGAGGCCGCGCTTCTCGTCCCCGAACCCGCTTTCCCGAGGAGGAACAGCGGGCCCAGGGGAGCGAGATGACCGGCGCTAGCCCGAGATCGCACAGCCCGTGAGAGACGCCACGGAACGGGGGTCTCGGCCCCCTCCTCAAGCAACACAGGGCCGCTTGCGGTGGCGAGGGCGACTGCAGGGTCCGCGGTGACTCCCGGGGGCCCTGCGACCGTCCCCCCGGAGCCCCCTGGACCCGGCCGGCGCGTGTCGCCCAGGTCCCCTGGACGGCGAGTAGAGGGCAGGCCCCTTTCAGGGCCGCTTTGCCAGGCAGCTTTCCTTGACGGAGCTGGATGAAGTGTGAAGCTCGGGGTGGGGGATCCCTAAAACTGTGACCCCGCTTCGGGCTGAGCGTGAACAGTGTCGCCCGGTTCGTCCCTTCTGCACCCATCCCGCCTCGGCGAAGCATCCCCGCTCCCCGCCCGCCGCGAACACCCCATCGAGGCCGGGCCAGTGAAGGGCTCGCTCGCCCGAGAGAAGGGGAGGCGCTCGGAGAAGGGTCCCCTTACAGCCGGCGCGGAAAGAGCCCCCCGGGATGGGGTGGGACCGGGAACACGGACGCCCCGCTCACCAGTGGCCTGGGACAGGCGAGTGCGCTGGGCAGGTGGGAGCGCTGGGACGCGGCCGGCGGCTCTGACAGGACTGACGGGGCCTGGGGTGGGGGCAAAGCTGCTCCCCCAGCCCCAGGTGGCGGGTGGGGCGGAGCAGTGGGCATGCGCAGCCGTCCTCCTTCGCGCCCTCCGGCCACCCCCACCCCGCCCCTGCCCCGAGGGAGCGCGGGGTCAAGCCCCGGGCGGCAGC